CTTGGTAGACCTTACTTGATTGCTTGGAGGTAGACAGAACCACATGGATGACCATACCTTTGAGAAGAAGATATTAGTGACATCCTCATTTTTCCTGCTGATTCCAAGGTAAGTCCTGCTCTCTGCTCGGCATAGGCTGACAGTTACCAGCAGCACCTTGACTCTACAAGGAAATAGAATACTGTGGGGTGGGGTTGGGGGGAGAAGTAAGCTGGGGTCTGGGTTTGAGACCTTACCCAGTCATCATGACTTAGCGCCCCCAGAAATAAATTTTTCCTCTATTTACCCTGGATTGCTTATCCCTCAGGCATTAGTTGGAGTGTAGACTGCCTTGGATTTAGGAAGAAATGCTCTCTTTCTCCTCTATATAGTAGTCCTTCATTTCAAACGTCATACCTTGAAGGGTTACAGCCCCTCCCCCTGCCTTTTCCCAAGTATAGAACCTCTCCTCTCCTCTGCCTTCTTAGTCCCACGGCAAGCTCTGAGCTGGCCAGCCTGAAACAGCTATGCCAACCTGCAGCTGAGAAATTATTCCTGCTGGTTTTGACACGAGGGGCACTGAAACCTACCCTCAGAAACAAAGCTGCCTTGTATGGAAATCTGCTTCAGGAACAGGATAAAGGGGTGTTGAAATTCCTGTATCAGATTGTCTTTTAACCTCTGCTCTCTAGAAGCAAGAACACCTTCTCAGGACGATGGGAGGGCCTCAGATCACCTCTGGAGTCAGGGAAATGAGACAAATCCTGTCCGGTCAGTAGCAAGGTAACCCCTCTCTTAGCATCACGTTTGCTTTCTGAGGGGCTCAAAATTCTGCCGCTTGGGGGCAATGACTCTTAACCCTCCAGGGATGCTAGAATCTCTGCTACCCAGTAACACCACAGAGAGCCTTTAAGTTCCAACTGATAAGGAGTGGGAATTCACAGGGTCTCTCTGACAAACGGTCGTTTATGGAATGCCAGTCTAGATTGAGTTCCAGTTTTCTATCTGAAAGGTGAGGGAAGGACCATGGAGGGGGAGGGGGAGGGGGAGATGGGTCCTCCCTGAGGATGCCAAGGGCACAAGGCCAGTAATAAGGTGCTGCCTTCTCTCCACCATGGGGCCTGGACAAATTTTATGCAATATAAGAGTTACAAATGGCAAAATTCCACCGCCCTGGAAGAAATCCAAGCTAAATAATTTAAATGAGGCAGAGAGTCCTCGCTGAGCGGTCTGGTGGAAAGCCTTCTTCCTAAATATATGCTTATTTAAAATAACAACAAGCTTGTTGTCAGTTACAAGACTTCAACAATGTCTTCTTTCCCTCCCATTCAGTTCCTTTTCTCTTTTTCTCCAGGGAATAAGTACTGAATACCTTCAATATCTGGATGTGGTTGGAAAGAGGAAAATATAGCAGAGGTACATCTAAGTTGTGGGAAGTGGGGGCAGAACATTAGAAAAAAGCCAATAATGAAAGTAAGGATTAAGAGAGAAATTGAAACACAAAAGCTAGTAGAGGGCAGGTTGTCCTGTCAGGTTTGCTCTAAGACTTTGTTTTTTTTTAAGATTTTTATTTATTTATTTGACAGAGAGCACAGGCAGGGGGAGCAGAGGCAGAGGGAGAGACAGGCTCCCCACTGAGCAGGGACCCTGGACCCAGGACCCTGGGACGATGACCCGAGACGAAGGCAGAGATCCAACTGACCGAGCCACGCAGGCACCCCTGCTCTGAGATTTTAAAGAACAGAAAATATGTTGAATTAAAGCACTGGCTCTCAATCTTGGCTTACATCAAAATTACCTGAGGGGTTTTGAAAAACTACAAAAGCCTGGTAGATCTCTGAAAAAGATTCTCCAGAAGTGGAGTCTAGGCATGGGTAGTTTTAAAAATTCCCAAGCTGATTTGAACGAGCTGGCTGACTTGAGAGCTAGTATCCTAGAGCCGAGCTTCTCAAACTTGGGTGGGCACCAGAAACACTTGGAAGGCTCATTAAAACACAGATGGGGGTGCCTGGGTGGCTCAGTCATTAAGCGTCTGCCTTCGGCACAGGTCACTGGTCCGGGGTCCTGGGATCGAGCCCCGCATCGGGCTCCCTGCTCCACGGGAAGCCTGCTTCTCCCTCTCCCACTCTCCCTGCTTGTGTTCCCTCTCTCACTGTGTCTCTCTCTGTCAAATAAATAAATAAAATCTTATTAAAAAAAGAAACAAAACACAGATGGGCCCTCCCTTAAGGCTTCTAATTCAGCTTAAGTCTGAGAATCTGCATTTCCAACAAACCTCCAGGTGACGCTGATGTTGCTGGCTGGAGACCACAATTTGAGAACCAGTATCTTGGAGGAATAAATGCTCACCATTTTTTCTCTGAGAACATGTGTGTATACTTGATCTATAGGTTTGAATAGCTGGGTTGTCTCTTGTGTGCACCTGGAAACCATGTGCTCATATGGTGGTGAAGGGAAAAGGGAAGCCCAAGTGAAGGGGGAGACTTTTGTAAGTTCAAATCAGAGAACTGACCATTTCTATCTCCACTGTGTTTTGTTTGAGTTGTGGCTGAGGAGCTCTGTTCATTTTTGGTCCTGTTTTACTCCTGAGGAAATAAGCCATAGTTCTCAAAGTTGCAGATATCAGTTTGCCAGATGAACACTCATCTTTCCTCTCACACAGCCAGGGCCTAAACTCCCCCCTCTGGAGCCAACAGGATCTACCTTCAAAGAGCCTTAAAGAACATCCCAGAGGCAGGGGTGACTGACCAGGGCTAAACCTCTTCCTCTTACGGAGGAAGTAGACGTGACCAGGGGCATGGTTAGAAAACCAGACCGGGGGCTGCCTGGGTGGCTTGGTTGGTTGAGCGTCGGACTCTTGATTTGGGCTCAGGTCATGATCTTAGGGGTTTGGGATCGAGCCCTGTCTTGGGGTGCCCTTTCCACAGACCTTAGTCAGTAAATTCCCTCTCCCTGATTCCCCACCCCTGAATTGAAATCAGGGAACTAGGAAGTAAGATAAAGTCTCAACTTTTGGTTTCTATACCCTTGAACAGCTTCGTGAGATCCACCTCACACATTAGCCAAAGGCCCAGCTCTAACGCAGTCTAGTGTATGTGTGTGGTCTAGGGAGAATGACAAGGGAAGAGGTACTCTGGACAGAGGGTGACCTTTTCCTATCTACCCCTCAGGGCTCCAGCAGAGACTGGATTTAAGGGGCCTATAGCCTCTCCTCCTTTTCTTCCCCCATCCTAGCCTCAGAGAGAGCCAAGAACCAGATGTCCCCAAGACAACTCTCCTGGGACAAAAGTCAAAAAGCCTGAATTCCTTAGCTCTTCCTCATTTTCTAAGTTAGCCCCGAATAGGTTAACAAAGAACAAAAACCAGGAGAAGGAAGGAGGCCCAGAGCCACATCTGGATACAAAAAGCATTCTGAATTTGCAGAATATCAGAGATGATGACATTCAATCACAAGCAGTGAAATGCTCTCTGAAGTCACACAGTTGAACATATACATATATAAACATGCAGGATATCCTCTGCAGATAGAGATAATTGGAAGCTGACCCTGGTAGGCTAATGCAAACTTAGAAGCACTCCCTGTTATTTACCCCAAAGATACAAATGTAGGGATCCGAAGGGGTACGTGCACCCCAGTGTTTATAGCAGCAATGTCCACAAGAGCCAAACTGTGGAAAGAGCCAAGATGTCCATCGACAGATGAATCGATAAAGAAGATGTGGTATATATACACAATGGAATATTATGCAGCCATCTAAAGGAATGAGATCTTGCCATTTGCAACGACGTGGATGGAACTGGAGGGTGTTATGCTGAGTGAAATAAGTCAATCAGAGAAAGACATGTATCACATGACCTCACTGATATGAGGAATTCTTAATCTCAGGAAACAAACTGAGTGTTACTGGAGTGGTTGGGGGTGGGAGGGATGGGATGGCTGGGTGATAGACATTGGGGAGGGTATGTGCTACGGTGAGCGCTGTGAATCGTGTAAGACTGTTGAATCACAGATCTGTACTTCTGAAACAAATAACGCAACATATTTTAAGAAAAAAGGAAAAGAAGAAGATAACAGGAGAGGAAGAAAAGGGGAGTATGTCAGAGGGGGAGACGAACCATGAGAGATGATGGACTCTGAAAAACAAACTGAGGGTTCTAGAGGGTAGGGGGGTGGGGGGATGGGTTAGCCTGGTGATGGGTATTGAGGAGGGCACGTTTTGCATGGTGCACTGGGTGTTATGAACAAACAATGAATCATGGAACACTGCATCAAAAACTAATGATGTAATATATGGTGATTAACAAAACAATAAAAAAATTAAAAAAAAATTGCTAAGATATGTTCTATTGCATGGATGTATGCAATTTAGACATCCATTGTTGGGTATGTAAGGGCTTGCCAATTTGTCACTGTTATAACTAACAAACACACGCTTTGTGGGGCTCAGAGATAAATAAGGTAATACACTGAATCTGGCACGGTGGATTTTGGGAAAACAGGAGGCAGCTTTTTCCAGGTGGCTGAAAAGAACAATTAACTGTAGGTTGCTGGGCTCTGGACAGGTGTCCTCAGAACGTAACGTGTTGTCGGTCAAAGTAAGGAGCATTTTGTCGGGTGTGTGCTCAGACCGGGGTGCCTGCTCCCTCACTTTTCAAACGCTGAGGCGAGGAGCCCCTGAGGCTTTGGCTCCCACTAGTGGAACGCCCCCGGCCAGAAGCTGGGAGTTCTGGCCACACGCCGCCACGTGCCAGGAGCAGGGCCCCGCCCCCACCGGCTTCCCGACACGCCCCTCACACTTGGCTCTCAGAAGCCCTCCCCGCAGCTCCGCCTCCAGGAGACCTCCGCAAGTCCTCTCTGCCCCTAGAGTAGCCCCGCCCCCGGACTGCCGGCCCCGCCCCCGCAATCCGGGCCCCGGGGCTGCCCCGCCCCGCGGACCGTTTCCGAGGCGCGGGGGCGGGGCCCTGCGCGATGACGTGGGCGGGCGTGCGCGGTGACGGCCCGCGTCCCTGTTACTCAGCGGAGCGGCCGAGGCCGGACGACGCGGCCAGGAGTGCGGAGCCGCGAGCAGCCCTGGGTAACGGCCGTGGCGATCGCCCGGACGGCGCCAGTCCCGCCGGCGGGCTTTCCTGTCGCCGTTCGCTGCGTTGCCGGGTGAGTGCGGCGGGTGCCGCAGGGCCGGGGTGGCCGGCGGCCCCGCCGTGTTTATGTTATTGTGCCGCCGCCACCGCCGCCGCCTTCTTCTCAGCCGTGACCCCCTCCCGGGAGTGGGGGCGGGAGCGCGCGGCGGCGGGGGGCGCGCGGCGGGCGGGGGCGGCGCTGGAACAATAGCGGCCGGGGAGGCGGGGGCCGGCCAGGGGGCGTGGGGCTGCGGGAACCTCGGTGCGCCCCGGCCGTCAGCCCCCGGCCCGCCCCAGCTCCACCCGTCCGTCCTCGCGCGCTCTCCTCGCGCGGGTCCCGCGTCCGCGTCGGGAGGGGAAAATGGAGCGGGGGGTGGGTGGCAAGTTCTGAAACACTTCGGGGAAGGTCCGGACGGAGGCGCCTGGGCGGCCCGCCGCGCCCTGGCTGCCTCTCCCGGCGATGGGGAGCCGAGAGCGCTCCTCCGGTCGCCGGGTCCCGACGCCTAACTGGCGCCCACAGGGTCCGTGTTTTGTTTCTCGGTGGTTTCTTTGTGCTAAGGTTCTGGGCAGACGCAAGCAGCGGCGCCGAAAAAGGCTGGGGTGGCCTTCGGCTCTGAGCGGCGAGGGGGAGCCCGGGCCCTCGACTTGCGCGGAAGGTATCCATCAAGCTGTGAGCGAGCTTCAGTGGCCAGCGGGCTTTTCTCTTGAGGGTCACTCGGTGATGACCTTTTGACTTTTTTACCCCACCCTCTCCTCTCTTTGTCTTGCACTTGTGTTCCCAATCCTTACGTGGTGGAACCAAGTCCATTTTAGAGTATTGTGGTGAACACTTTCCTTTTTTTAATTTCTGAGAGTTCGCATCAGATGTTTACTGTGAACTTAATAGCATGTTGACTGCATGGTATCAATGTTCAGTGGTTACTGTTTTTACCTCTGAAATTCCGTAGTCTTTTCAATAGAATTTTGGTCTGTCAGTCCATTGTGTTTTGAGATAAGCATCCAGCAAGTTATCTTTTTGGCAATTAGAACATCTGTTTATTTCATTCATTCACTCAGCAACTGTTCAGTACTGTACTCAGATGGAGAGTTTGAAGGTAAAGAGAAATATCTTTTAATGGAAGAGGATGCTTTGATGGAAATAAAATAGATGTCCCTTTAAATGAGACAATTATGTAAGTGGTGTGTGTTAAGAAAAGGTATAGTTATACTCTGGGTCATTTTACTGTTTTGTTTTTGTTTTAGTACCATCTGGAACTTACAGTGTTGTATTGGGAAGTAGAGTTAGGAGATTGGTCTAAATGTACAATGGCTTTTTTATTTACAAATTTAACTTTTCAGTTTTAACAGCCTTACAGTCTTACAGTCATTGGTAATGTTTATCTCGATTTCCCTGCTGTGGGTTAAACACTAGGAGGTCATATGCCGTACGTGAACATATTTAGTGCTGTGCCTGACAAAAGCAAGGAATCAAAATGGGACTTGGTTGAGGACAGGTCTGTCTTGCATCTGTCTCCAACACCTAGCCTGAAATACAGTAAGTGTTCAATAAGAGATTGGTGAAAAACTCTTTACAATGAATAATGTTTAAAATCCAGTCTTTACTGTTCTCTGTAAAGTTTTGTAAGCCTCTTGCAAGCTGTCACTTTCAGATGGCTAAATGATTGGTTCATACGTATTATCTGTCACCACAGTAGGGGCTTTTGAATATTTTATTTATTTATTTATTTTTAAAGATTTATTTGAGAGAGAGAGCACAAGCGGCGCGGGGTTGGGGGGCTGTGGAGGGGAGAGGGAGAAGCAGGCTCTCCACTGAACAGGGAACCGATGTGGGGCTCCTGGGATCATGACCTGAGGGCAAGGCAGACACTTAACCGACTGAGCCACTCAGGCGCCCCTGAATATTTTAGTATCAGTTTTTTTTTCCTATCACTTCTAATTCGTTATCCTACAACAAAACCTTGTCTAAAATGTCTTTTTTTAGTATGCGTATCACACACATAGTGATAATACAATAGGGGTCTAAAATGATTGGTTTTTTGCAAATATTGCTTGAGAAGTTTCTGATGATGCCTATAAGCAGAAAAGCTAGACTATGGGAAATAAGCTACATAAAAGTTTTATTAGAGATGTTTAATTTCTAATTGCATTTTTAGAAATGTTTAATTTAAAGTTCTACCTTGGTGAAGCATTTGGGCCTAACAATTTAAAATTCTATTGGTGAGGGCGCCTGGGTGGCTCAGTTGGTTAAGCGACTGCCTTCAGCTCAGGTCATGATCCTGGAGTCCCGGGATCCAGTCCCACATCGGGCTCCCTGCTCAGCGGGGAGTCTGCTTCTCCCTCTGACCCTCTTCCCTCTCGTGCTCTCTATCTCTCATTCTCTCTCTCTCAAATAAAAAAATAAAATCTTAAAAATTCTATTGGTGAAGCATATGGGCCTAAAACTCCAAATAATACTTACTTATCCAAGTTATATCTTTTTTCCACTCACTACTTAATACATAGCATTTGTTTTGGATATGAGAGAATTTTAGGTGAGTTTATTGCCGGATGTAGAGTAAAAGTAAAAAGGAAGTGATACTTTACTAAGATAAGGAATGAAAATCTTGAGATACCAAACTTTTATTGCTTTGCCTAGTTACAGTATGTCACATATCAGGAAGGGTTACTGGTAGAAATCCTTTGGCAGTAGCTCACTGTCAGGCTACATGTTAAACCAGTTTTTTTGTTTTGTTTTCAAATTTCTTTTGTTTCTTTAATAAATAACAGCTTTATGGAGATATCATTCACATACAATAAAATTTACCCTTTTAGAGTGTGCATCAGTGGTTTCTAATATATTCACAAAGTTCTACATTGATCACTACTATCTAATTCTAGAACATTTTCGTCACCCCAAGAAAAACTCTGTACCCATTAGCAGTTATGCCCTATGTTTAAAGGAAGAGATAACACTGATTCTTTTGGTGAGTATATTCCATTAATTAGTTTGAAAGGGATTGTCTTTGTGTCCTGGCAGAGTAGGAAACTATATCCTTACACTCCTTTAGATCCTGGGAGAAAGGCCACTTGGAAAGGAAATTAGTTTAAGAATAAATTCTACCCAAATTAATGAGGTTAGAATCTTAACTTAGTGCCTAAAGTTATGGAAATGACCTTGTAAAGATACTCAGTGCTCAGTGAAACAACTTGAAATAATTTAAGTGACCAGTCACAAACAATCCTAGCGACAGTCGAAGTGGTTGAATAGAAGTCTGATTCATGTTAGTCTGTTTTGTCTATGAATTAAGTTTGGACACATTCGAATCATCTAGATAGTTCAGATGTTGTGTTGCACAAGTAGAAGTATAAAATAATGTCTGACATTAAGATGCCAGCTCTCTAGAGGTCTCTGGTCAAATCAGTGGTATGGGTAGTAGCCTTTCTGATTCATGTAGTGCAAGGAAGTCATTATAGCCGCATAGTTCTAGATATGAATCATCTGCCTATTTCAGAGCTGTGATGCTTATTGTCTTAGTCATGAGCTCTTTACATGAACATTTAGAAAATTAGTTTTCTTACTTTAATGCAGATTAACTTGAACTTTGATTTCAGAAATGAGTTTTGAGTCACCAGACTTTACTACCTAAAAGGAGACAGGAGTAGTGAAATAAGAGCTGTCCTATCATTCGGGGCGATAGGTGAAACTAGACTGGTAGGGAATCAGACTTAGGTTCACTTCTCAGTTCTGTCTTCTAGACTTTGTCATCAACAAGTTCCTGAGCCGTAGAAAAGTTGCTTAACCTTTTTGGATTTAGAACTGTAAACTGAGGCTGTTGGAACTCTTTTTTTATAGAAATGTTGTTCCTCAGATAGGTTTTTCTTCAGGAAACATACTGGGACAAAAAGAGTCTTTGGGTGATAATCAGAATCCTGTGTCAAGAACAGCAATGTAACAGACTTTTGTAATTTTCAGAAGCAGAAAAATTTAAGTCACATATTTTCTGTAATCCATTCTTACAAAACATAAAAATTTCACTGTAAGCTTGAGTTTTTTGAATGATAGATTTTATTCATTCCACAGCACCATGCTTACTAATGAGACTCCTTACTCTCAGAGAGTTAGTGGAAGATGTGCAAATGAATATTTGCCTTAAGAAGCTTATGATCAGGGATGGGAATAAAGGCATATCCAAACAGTGAATTTATATTCTTTTATAAGATTTATAAAAATCTAAACAAAAGCCTGCCCCAAATATCTGGGCAGGCTAAATTTCACTGAAATCCGTTTTTTAAATTACATGTGAGTATGTATGTGAATAAGATCTTTTAGAAAACTTATTAGCTGCCATTCTTTTTCAGGGTGGTGGGTTTTATCAGAAATATAGCTAATAAAGTACAAATATATGTTTGCCTGTTATCCTTTGGTAGTATGTCAGGTTTGGTTAAAATCTGCCAGTTCTTTAGGAGATTAAGGAGCCCAAACTTAACAGTCCTTGTTAACATGAGTTTTAAGGTAGCTCTGAGTTCAAATTCATGATCCAAATCTAACTCACTATATGGCCAGGTTAGTTCAGATTATATAACATCTTTGGGCCTGTTTTATTATTTGTCAAGTGAGAATAATAATAGCACATAATCTCATAGGGCTATAAGGTTTAAGTAAGGCATTGCATATAAAGTGCTTGGCTCTAATACAGTACATAGAACTCTAGATGTAAGTATTCAGGAAATTTTAGCTATTATTATCACTTATTATTTTTAACTTGGAACAAATGCAAAATGCCAAGTAAATTAAAAACTAATTTCATGTATACATCTGAATTCTCCAGAAAATTTCTGCCAGTTGGTTCCCCTCTGCATCTTTGGGGGTTTATTTAAAATTGGGTTGTCTCATCTAATCTGAATTGACTGAAATGATTTAACATTTGGACCAGTTATCCTCTCTGCTTTTAAATTTGGAAACATTCCAAAAGCACATATTAAAGGAAAATCATTTGCCACATTCTCTGATACCAAGGTATTTTGCTGTGTTTACTTTTCCCACTGCAGAGAGTT